GCACATCTGGTTCTCGGAAAATATCTCGGCATGTGCTCGTTGAGCCAGTCAATCTCATTGCGCGCCGAGAATGAAAACTCTTCGATCTCCGGATTGCGCGATGTTCAATGCCGAGTCCCTCTCTTCCGCAACCCAGGCGGCCGAGCCAACCTGGAGACGCGGCCCTCCTCGCATCGCCATTGTCGCGGGAAGCTGTTTTTGTCGCGGGCAGGAAGAAAAGAAGTAAACAATGTCGGAACGAGGGACGGCAGTAGGGAAAAAGAAGGGTAAGAATTGAGAGGAAGTGCTACTGGATCAGCATGCTATAGGGAGAAGGAGAATCGAACTTGGTCGAACGCTTGGTCCTAGGAGGAAACACTCCCTAGGCTGCCCTGTTTGTGAACGGGAAGTCAAGTTGTGGGTTGTATCTTGCGGGCCGTTTGAATTCGGTTAGGCTTTGTTTTGATTGTCTCCCGAAACGGAATGGTCTGGGTTGAAGCTCACGGGTGGGGTCGAATCTGACCCCCTGCCAGCCCTTTCAGCGCTTCTGACGCCAGTGCACGTGCATTCGATCGTTCCGTGAGCCCCGCACAGTGAAATTGCCAATGGTCGGTGAGAATGCCGCAGACAGTGCTTTTGATTGGGTTTTTACTGTGCTCTTTCCGCTCTGTCGCGCCTGCAAGTGCAAGCCGAGTCGCGTCGTTTTCGAAACTATCTTACTTGTTATGATGGGCGCTTTACACACAGCAGCTCTTTCAACTCTTTGTAGCGCAGTTTAAAACGTTCGATTTCTTTAACCCGGAAATTTCGCGATGCCCTGAGCAAATTTCTGCTTTTTCCGTTTCGCCTCCCCATACACATACATCCCTCCGCCTGTTCAAAATGGAGTCCTTCGACGTCCCCGACTCGACCGACTGGATCGGGACACCGCTAGCCGGCCTCATGCAAGTCGAGCAGGCATTTCGCTGCCACGTATGCAAAGATTTTTACAACTCGCCCATGATCACCTCCTGCAGCCACACATTTTGCTCGATATGCATCCGGCGGTGTCTGTCGGTCGACGGCAAGTGCCCGCTCTGTCGGGCACTCGACCAGGAATCCAAGTTGAGGGGGAACTGGGCTCTGCGGGAAGCCGTTGACGCCTTTGTCAAGTCTCGCAATACGATAATGCAGTTCGCCACAACCCCGGTCTCTGTTTCCACCCCGAGATCCCCAAAGAGGAAAGCGACGGAGTTGGAGGAGCCGCTGCAGGAAGCGCAAAATAAGAGACCTAGGATGACGACAAGGTCAAGCAAGGCGAAAGCGGTAGAAGCGAACGCTGTGCTTATGCGCGAGGAGGTGGATGTGGTCGAAAGCGAGGACACACCGGATTACGAGCCTGAACCAGGTATGGGGACTGCGAACGATCAGGGTCAAAACTTCTCGACTAACCCGTATTTTTCAGACGATGGCCTCGTTGCATGCCCGATCTGCTGGGCACGAATGAAGTCTTGGCAAGTTGATAGACACATCGACAATTCGTGTCCGGGGTCTCCCCAACCACAAAAGGCGTCGTCATCCGCCACAAACAACCGCGGAGGGAGCGGCTTTGACTCGACTCGAAGCCTCTTTCAGAACCCCCCAACACCGACGAAAGCGCCTGAACGACTTCCAGCACTCGCATATTCCATGCTCAAAGACACGGCGCTGCGCAAGAAGATGGGTGAACTCGGGCTGTCGACGGCCGGCTCGCGGCAGATGCTCGAGAAAAGACACCAGGAATGGATAACGCTATGGAACGCCAACTGCGACTCGGCGAAACCCAAGAAGCGCTCGGAGCTCATGCACGACCTGGAAGTGTGGGAGAGGACAATGGGTAGCCGCGCGCCGACCATGTCCAGGGCGGCAAACATAGGAGTGCAGATCAAGGACAAGGATTTCGACGGCGCCGCATGGGCGACGAAGCACGACACTTCGTTCAAGGACTTGATCGCGAAGGCGCGCGGGTCACGGAATAAAGCCGCCCAGAAGAAGGACGAGCCAAGCGAAACCGGAGAGCCGGGACCGCCGAGGGAGGACGGGAAAGGGGTAAATGGCACGGGGGCGGTGCCGGATTTGTTGCAAGGAGCCGTAGTAGATCTTACAGGCCCGCCATCAAGCCAGCTCGAGCCGCCAGATTCGCCGCTGAAGGGGCCGAGAGGCCCAACGAGTAGCGGTGTTGGCTTTACCAGCCAGGAACCGATTCTGGTGAAGGAGGTGTTGCATCCGTTAGCCGACCGCACATCTACATACAGTTCATCTCAGGGGCCCGAAGGGGCGCCTTCATAATGAACAGCGGGGCTTCAAATCAAGGATTGAAAGACTTTGGGCGTCATTGCTCGTAAACTCGTCCACCTATGCCTAGTGGTCATCACCCTATCCGAACCGTGAAAAATGTGACATCCAGATGCATCCCAAACGCCGTGAATATGATAGAAAACATATGAAAACCCGCCCCAGCTCCTCTTCTTGGGGAGCAGCGTCACGGGCGCCGACTGCTCGGTCGTATCGTGGCTCATCCATGCACTAATCCACAGAATTAGAATTAGCCTCTATATCATTGCCCGCGGCCGCAAAAACACACAAGGAGGGGATCTCCGCCGATCAGACATCGGACCCCTCCTTCAGGGACAGCCTACTCATCAAGTCCTCCGCATCCCGCACATCCCTCTTCACCGCCTTGGCCGCCGCCCTCGCGGCCTCCGCCTCGGGCCCCTGCGCAGCCGGTTCCCCCTCAGGCACCTTGCCAACACCCTCCAACCTCTTCCGCATTTCCTCCGCCTCGACCCTCCCGCGCTCCTCCCGCGCCACCCTCTCCCTCTCCTCCACCACCCTCCTCTCCTCCCCTTCCAACGCCGCCAACTCATCATCAATCTCCTCCTCATCCACCACCACCGTGCCGGCCGACTCGGCGAGGATGCTGCCGACCTCATCCACGGCGGCCATCTGCTCGCGCAGGCGGTCGACGACCTCCTCGACGCGCTCGACGCCGCCCACGCGCGCGTGCAGGCTCTCCAGGGCGGCGCCGGACGCCTCCATGACCTGGACGAGCTGGACGTTGTCGGCGGCCTGCTCGATGCGCGCGGCGACGTCCTCGAGCTGGCCCGCGGTGGCGAGGCGGCGCTCGAGGGTGGATTCGGCGAGTTTCTTGGAGCGGAGGGCGGCGAGCGCGGCGGGGCGGTTGGCTTTGCTGAGGGCTTGTTTGGCTTGGGCGGTGAGCTGTTCGATGCGCGCGGTGAGGAGGGCGGTTTGGTGCGCGAGGGAGGCGAGGAGCTCTTTGAGTTGGGCGATGGAGGTGTCTTCGGGGGTGATCTCGGCGGGTTCCGGGGGGTTGCTGTCGCTGGGGGAGAGGATCTTGATGGTGGTGCCGTCGTAGGCGATGACGGATTTGTCACGGGAGAGGAAGAGGAGGAGGACGTCCATGTCGGTTTGGGAGAGGTGTTTGCCGTCGAGGAGTTGGTCGTTGAAGGTTTGGTAGAAGTGGGCTTTGGAGAAGGTGCGTTCGAAGCGGGTGAGTGTGGCGGCGACAGGTCCGTTTTGGGCGCTGAATGCCTGGCCTACTTCTTCCACGTTGGAAACCACCACGAATTGCCCTGGCGGAAGGGAGTCTCTCTTCAACATGTCGGCTACGCCGAGCTGCTTCATGGTCCAGGAGGCGAGGTTCCACACAGACCACGGGCGGCGGTAAATGCTCTCCTTGGCGTCGAGGAACTCGCGTAGCGGGATGAGGTCCTTGGCGGCGAGTGCCTCGCGGACTACGGCGCCTAGGGCAAGTGGCCTGCCGTACTGCTTCGACTCGAGCGCGCGGAGGAGCTGCTCATCGGATTGAAGGACGAACAGGTTGGGTGCGGCGGCGCGACCGGCCGGTGCCAAGCCGGAACCCACGATGTGACCGAGGGCTTTCCGCCATGCTGAGATGTTTGCTTGGTAGCCATCTGGGTTGAGGGTTCGCTGGGTCTGGAAGTCGGAGTAGAGGGCAGGAAGCCGTGCTCTAAGACGGTGAGGGTATGTGAGTTAGGTGGAGTTCCACTACCTATGACGAAAATGAAAATGCAAAGCATACTTTCTGAAGGCAGGCTCGTTCTCGACGAGGTAATCTACCAGTGACTGGGTCATGATTTCGACGGTATATACGCGGCTGCAGGGTCCAACAGCAAGCTAGCGGCGATTCTCGGTTTGCGCTGCCGTCTTTCGACAGCAGACTGGGAGAAGGAGGGCGTTTGTCGCCTGAATTGGATGGATTGGATGGCCGAGCAACCGATGCACTCGGAAATGTTTGGCATCAGACAAAACGCCCAAATGAATGGATCGAAGCGCGTCGACAGGCAGCAGCGACAATCCCGGCGACGCCAACGCGCCTCAGCGACAAAGGTCAAAAGAATATCAACCAGCCGCTCAGAGCAAATGACGTCCAGGGAGTGCAGGCAGACACAGGCACACACCCACACGAGCCACAACCACTGGTGAGCAGGGGCTTGTTATCTTATCAGTGGGAGTGGGTGCCATACCCGGCGCGCCGGGGTCTCAGCTCCCGGCAGGCAAATGGAGGTGTGATTGAAGACGCCCGTTTCTTGCCGCGTCTCGCGGCTCTCGCCAGCCCACGATAAAATGGAATCTTTGGACGTTACCCGGGTACATTCTTCCGAAGCGCAGCGCTACCTACCTTAAGTCTCGATTATCTCGGGGGACACATCCAGTAGGTATAAAACTTGGATGCATTACGTATTTTCACGACATGGGCGTCACACACGATTTTTCTATTGCGACCCCATCTCGGATTATTTGGATGTAGCCACCCTCCCACCATCGCAGTCGAACTATTAATGCCCGATTCAAACCGAATGTCAAGATTTCGTGGGGGTTAGAGACTCTTGCATACCCAATAAACCCTATGTAATGATGACCATCGACAGCTCTATCGCAGTTACCCGCCTGGAAAATTCTAAGCAAGATCTGACCCTCTGCCTGATTGTTCAATCGTCCGATTCCAGCCCAGCCGAGCCAGCCCTACCCGCCACGACGCAGGTATGCACGTGGGAGAATAAAGACCAAGAATGGGCTGGAGGGATGGGCCGTGTTGCCGGGAAGGCTTGTTGAGCCGCATTGCGTTGGTCTCGTCCTACCCTACCTTGTGCTCACTCAGGGGTATTTTTCAAGGGCGGCGGCTTGAGTGATCTCTTGTGGCTCCTGGCGTCTGCTATCGGCATATATATTGATTTCTACCTGCTTTTCGGCGTGGCCAGTTGCTGCTGAGCTATCATCCGTTGTCACCAAGAAGGCTTCTTGAGTCTAGCTCGTAAGATTCCTCAACAGCGAGTATGGGAATGACTTACTCTGAATGAGGTGGGTGTGGCATGTCGCGGCGGAACTCTGTACCAACAAAACATGGGGACTGGAACCGAGCAACCGGGTCTGGTCCAAAAGCCTAGTTGAGGCTCAGATGATAATTCAGTTCATGCCCGTCATCAGCTGTCATTAATACGCGCAGACGCGTCTTATTGTTACACAGAGAAGAACCGCGCTTATCACTGTCACAAGATGGGCTGCTTGAGACGCCATTGGCTGTTGATCGACCAACATCTCGATCGAGCCTGTCGCTTCAGTCGGGAAGAGCAGAGCTTTGTGGAACCACTCGGACCGAAAGGGAACGTAACGTCTCCTTTTCCAGAACGTTACACACACCATTGCACCGCTTGCGATGCAGGGGGGTTGCCTTCTTATATACGCGGTACTGTCAAAGAAGCCTATGAATATGCCGAGGCGTGAATCTCGCGCCGAGAAAATAACCCTTACTTTAGGCCATGGCTGCTCGGCTGGAGTATCAAGGGCAGCAACACGCTGAGAAAGGTGATATTTGTTCCTCCATTCAGTGCCCTGATCCTGAGAGCATATACATAACATTATGAGCGCTCTGAGAACTACTCAGAGAGGTATTCTGGGCGATGTCTAGCTTGTTACCATCTGACCACACTAACGCCCGGCCTCACCGAGCCTTAGATGCATTTGCCGACCCCTACCCGGACAGTTGGCTTATCCTAGCCACCTTACGGCCGTGGGATGTTGGATGTAGTAAAGAAACGCTTAGGAGTGGCAGGTGATGCGAAAACTTCAACTTCTAGCCCCCAGAGCATGCGAGGTGAGCCACCAGAGACATGGGAGGCTATGCCGCAAGGGGCGATGACTGCAGAAAGGCGCTGAACATGATCGTATAGCGGAGGTCATTCACAAGTATAAATATGCCCGCTAGGTCCCCTAACCTAATCCATTTTTCTCCCTCACTCTCAACACGCTCACCTTCAAACCTTCGTCCAACAGTTAGCCACAACCACCTTTCACCTCCCCTTCAGTATTTTGCCACACACTCAAGTTCAACAATTCAAAATGCAGTATCTTGCCGTTGCCGCTCTCCTCCTCCCGGCCACAGCGCTGGCCAGCCCCGTGGTCGCCGTCCGCCAGGACTGGGCCCCTGCGAAATTCATCGGCTGGACAGCCGACCAGAGCTGCGGCCGAGTTTCGGTCACTTACGACGCACTCAAGCAAGTCGCCAACGTGACCCTGCCCGACTACAAGGTCACCCTGCCCGACAACGGCAACCGTGACAGGGGCTGCGCGGTGACCCTGAAAGTCCGCTTCGCCGCCGACGCCTGCACGACCGGCACGGCGTTTGGCACCGTCAGCGGGAATGCCACGCTGCCGGTTGGCGTCTCGGGCCAGTTCTACGGCCGCGCTTACGCCGTAGATCCGTCCCTCGGACCCGTCTCCCCGGTCAGCCCTACCAAGAACTGGAACGCTGTTACGCAGCCTATTAATGAGCGGTACACCATTGATGACACTGTGGGCTACACGTTCAGGACCGACTCTGTGAACCGGGATGTCAACTTCAAGCTTCAAGGCCGGCTGCAGTTGCAGCCGGCCACCGGCCCGTCTGGCTTCTTGTCCAACGACAACTTTATTTTCGACATCCGTACCCAGATTCGCTGCTGTAAGTTTGATATCCCACCGCTTTGAAAGCGGGTTTTCAAAGCATTAATTATGGGGTGCTAATCATGATGCTACCTATGTGGGAACAGGAATACTCCCAGGTCATCTTTGACCAACGGTCATTCAACAATCAAGAGCTGGAACCGCTCGGCAAGTGAGGTAACGACCCTGGGGGTTTCTGATGGGTTGAAGCTGAGCCCAGAAGTACTTACGGGGAAGTCAAGGAGCGGAAGGTTTTTATTTCTTCTTTTCAAATTGTTTTCTTAGAACTCAACCAGTGCCCTCACGAGCCATTCAACATTCATTAGAACTAGTTTCTCTTAAATTGATAGCGCCAAATACTATAGTATAACAGCCGATAGTATGGTCCGAAATGGCCCCTCTTTTTGAATCTGTGTTAGGCATCCAGATGTTGATAGTTCACTAAAGGAGGGGTTGAGTACCTAGCTGAAATAGGTTTCTGAGGGCATGGTCTACAAGTGACTGAAGGGTGCGAGGCAGTACATAGGTACCTAGATTGCTATAGGAAATGTGGTTCAAGAGATTGACGAATTATTCCGAAGACGGAGTTAGGTTCTTGGAACAACAACGCGCCAAAGTTTAGGGTGTTTTTGAACGATAAAGGAGTAATAGAGCACTGGTGATTTCTTTTTATGAGACCGAGTACTCTGCGAGGAATCCTGTCTATTCCATAGGGGGTAACACTAGGGGCACAACACCACTTCCTTGTCCGATGGGAGGAGTCCTTAAGCTATAACATTGACTCAACCTATTCTCCAACAATTCAACCGGACGGAGTGTTTTTCTTGAACTACGATTAGAGTTAGAAGCAGTTTAATCCGCCAAAACCAGTACCTCACTGAGAGTGTTGTTTGATGGGTTAAGCTTTGAAGCGTATGGCACATGCTGGCCCCCGCAACTACATGTAACACCCAGGGGTGCCGGGGCAAGAAAACCGATGGGGAATAGACAGATGCATGGCATACGGTTAGGGCGTCGTCGTTCAGACTGCGCCACTTTAAAAGATCATCACACATTACATACGGCATACACAGCCATAGAACAATACAACGCCAGCCCATGCAAGCCATCAGCTTTGTCTACCTCTATCGACCCATCCTGTATCAACCAAACCCATCGTTAGGGGAAGAAGCGTCCCCTTCATCGCCCGGCATCATACCCGGCTTCGTATCGTTCAGGGGCGCCGTCTCTAACCCGGTGCTGCCTCCAACGGGGGCAATCAGGCTAGCCCTCCTCGCGCGTGTATTGTCCAGGGTCTCGCTCTCCTCATCGACCTCCACCTCGAGCGACCCGGCCTCTTCATAATCTCCGCTCAAGCCGGCCTTGATCTGGTCATTGAGATGCGCCAGGAAATCACTAGCCACCGCAAACCTCTGCACGCCGCTCTCGCCGGGCAGGCGCGCATGCATAGCACGTGCCGCCTTCAGGCACTTCTGGCCCTGGACATACTTGCCCTGGGCAACCCAGGCCTTGGCGCTGAGCACGCTCCACAGAGCCGACTTGCGTCGCCTGTTCCCCCAGGACTGTGACCCGACCCCTTGCTTCGAGGCGTAGCACACCGCCATGCGCTCTCTCAGAAGGGCGTCGCCGATCGGGCCCATCAGCTTGGACTCCAGGACCCTGATGCCCCAGCGGACGGCCTCGTCTATCCCAGAGCCCCCGCGGAGACGAAGGAGTTCCAGCGCCAGCATGGTGCACCGCGCGGCGCCGTAGAGCGAGTTGCAGCGGATGTGGTAGGAATAAAATGCCTGCTCGAGCATCTGGTTGATGGTCTCGATGCGGGTTTTGGATGACATGTTTTGTGGCATGATGAGTAGCGCCAGGGCGGCCATCTCGTTGGCGGCCGCGTGGTATTTCCAGGCCTTGTCGTTCTGGAAATCACCACGCAAGAGCTCGTATGTCGACATGGCCAGTTTCCAGTCCCGGAGCATGAAGGCGAAGTCGGCCAGCCGCCGCATGATGGCTTCGGGGCTATCCGCCCGGTAGAACCCGGTGGCATCGTAGTTGCTCGACGAGCTGGAACCGCCGGCCGACGAGCTACGGCTTGAACTCCCAAACGTCCACCTCTTCGACAAACTCATAAATCGTCCGCTGATGCCTCGGCGGCGCGATGCTACCTGGTCGTTCCACACCGAGATATTCCGTTCCATGGTCGGGACCACTGATTGTGTAACCATCTCCCGCACGAAAGTCCGTATTGCTGTGGCATCTGATTCGAAAATGTACCTTGTGGGATCTTCAAAATCTTCTCGTGTCTCACTCGCCTCGATATCGGCCAGTTCCTCAGCTGCCGTCATCCAGTCGCTCCTCGGGAGGGGTATGCTGTCATCGTCGGTCTCGGCGCTCCGCGTGCTACGTAGCCTCAGCAGGTGGCAGTGCAGTCCGAAATTCCGTTTCATCTGGTCAAACAGCGCCATCGACTTGGTGATGTCGCCATTCTCCTCGTCATGCACTAGGACGTAATACCGCAGGTACTCACCATCCACCCAAGGCGGCAGGCTGCGCTCACCCTGGCTCGTTTCCCTGTACAGTTTCTGCAGCGCCTCAATAGGCGCGGGATGCCGCGAGCTGATGGCCATGACGCACGCCACGGGGTGGGCAAACGACTCGTGGGACGCTAGAGGCATCCCGGACAGCAACCGCCGGAGGTACAGCGCATAGTACGGTGAGGTCGCATTGATATCCAGTCCCTGCCTCGCAGGCGACACGCCCGGCGACGGCGCACTGCCGACATACGCCTCCTCAGCAAACCGCAAATGCCTCTCCACGACCGTCTCAACCTGCGCAAGAACCTCCCTCCTCCCTCCCCCACCAACACCACCACCAGCACCACCACCCGCAACACCCGCAACACCCCTCCCTACCCCAGCCCCAGCCCCAGCCCCAGCCCCAACCACCTGCCCATTCAACCCAACAACCCCCCCACCATCCGGCTCCTCCACGCCCTCCCCAAACCTCACAAACCTCACCGCAAAATCCTCCCACGCCTTCGCCGCGCCATTACTATCCCTGACCATCACGCGCCCATGCACACGCTCCCCAAACGGCCTCAGCAGCTCCCACAGGCCGCCCAAGAAGCCCTTCTCCTTCACCAGGCCATTCACGTCCTCCGACGCATGGATGGCGACGTGTGGCACCAGGCTGCGCAGCATCAGATGCAGCGGGTCGTTGGGGTCGTCGGCGGCGCCGGTGTCGAGCAGGGAGAGGTGTTTGGCGGTGGAGGGGGAGGGGCCGGAGGAGGAGGCGAGCGAGGAGGAGGAGGAGGGGCCTGCGAGCGAGGCGGCGCCGAAGATGGAGCCCGTCATGGGGAGCATGTTGGAAGTGTTTGTGGTTGTTGCTGTTGTTGAGGTGGATGGGGCGGGAGAGGCGGAGCGGGAGCCGGGCGGGGTGAGGGTCGCGCGGAAGAGGGCGGCGGTGGAGGGGGTGGAGCGGCGGTCGCGGAGGGGTAGATGGCGGGGTGGGAGTTGTGGAGAGGCGGCCGCGGTGGCGGAGGAGGAGGAGGAGGGGTCGGTTTGTTGGGCTAGTGGGTGGTGGGCGTGGGGAGGGAGGGACTGGCGGGTTTTGGGGAGACGGGAGCTCGATGGTGTCGTCATGGCGGAGGCGGCGGGGGGGAGGGGTTGAACGGGTTCGTTTTCTTGCGTGAGGTGGGCATCGTCGGGAGGCTGCATGGGTGTCTAGGAGGTGATTTTGGGACGATTTTGGGGGTGACGTGGAAAGGTGTAGAGAAGTTGCACTTCGTTGCAATCGCTGGGATCGGTTGGTTGGATGCTTGTTTGATCTGATGTTGGCTCGATTCGGCTTGTTCGATTAGGTGGGTTCCTTAGTAAATTCGATGCCCAGTCAATTGGCAGTATGGAAACAATCCCCCCGTTAAAGCTGCCCTTCAAAGCTGCTCCCTTCTTGAAGCTGACGATGGGCAACGACGACGTTGTGATGTCGGGAATCACCGTCATAGTAGAGTGGAGCCCAAGCCTGAAACATGAACCAATCAATGGGCTATCACGTGAAGCCAAGCACCTCCCAATTCATCACCCAGCGGCTTTTGATGTGGGAAGCCGCAGTGGTCTTTTCTCCAAACCAGCTGCTTTCCCATTTTCTCCTCTCATCGCCAACGATTCATTTCTGATTAGTCGACTTCATTTTTGGTGTTTACGGAAACTACAAGAGCACGAGACACCACCGCCGGATATCCTCACTGTTTGCGTCTCGGACTTGGACCATTTACACCCGATACTCGATCAACCCGGGTACCGAGCAGCTCCAAAGAAGATGCTATGAATGAGTAAAAAGCAAAAATCGAAATATTGGAACCGGCATTAGGTGCGTCAAAGCTGAAATGCAGCTCCACGACTATGATGCATGCACATGCAATGGGTCATTGGCCATCGGGCCGTGTTAATACGTTAGGTACGTTGGGCGGTATCAACCAAGCAGCAGCTGAGGGCCGGCCCGAGTCGGAGCTATGACTGAGCAAAATCACGATGGCGCCCTCATTCGCTTGCATGTTCCCTGGCAGACGGCTTGGTCCGAAGCTTGGTCTGAAGCTTGGTTCTTCGCCAAGTTTTGACGCGCAAGCTCGACATCCCTCGTCGCGATGACAAGGGCGCCTCGCTGTAACGCTCTGGACCATTTCCCCTGGTCTCTCCTGCCATCCAGCCATCCCATACGCAGTGCCTAGTTGACCCACGCGGGTGGGAGCCAACGCAACAGCGCCGATCCCTCGACGACGGAAAACTGGTCAAGGAGGGCTGCGGGCCAGCCCTTTGACATTAGCCACTTCGGCTGAATTTCGAACATAACACGCCTTGCCTTGGCCATGGTCTGGCTCGGAAGTAACGTTGGAGTTGGGTTGCAGCTTCAGCCCTCGATACAGAGGGAGATGCGAAGATCGTTGCATTTGATGGGTTGTGTAACCAAATACATGCTCTCCCAGGCTCAGCGGTGGTCTGGGAGCTGCACAGCTTCCCAGCAATGGAACTCTGTTGGCAATATTGAGAGGGGTAGGAAGCACATCGGCAAGCTCGGCACTTGGTTGTTGGCATGCCCGGATCCGAACAAGGGCAGCTACAGGAGACAGGCAAGCAAAGAGCCGACACATATCGGCTTGCATTCCCGCGGGAAATAAAAACCAAGATGAGAAACAATGAGGCTGCTGGTTGTTTCTCGTCCACATTAACCCCAGTTTCTTGGCAGGACGGGATCTGCAAGCCAAGCTTCGGCTGTGATTGCCGAACCCGACCCTTGTCAGGCACCTCACCCCCCTTCTCATCGTCGATCCGATTCCAGGGGGAACGCTCAGTTATCCGCAGGTTTGCCCCTTTCCAGCGCCGGGACGAGGTGGCCCGTGGGATCGGCTGTTACCTCATTCTCTCGTCGTCAGGGTTTCTTAGCCGCATACATGATACTATGGAGACTCCTAGGATACAAGACATTTACTTGTCAACCATGCGGCTGGGCTCCTCGTGAGTTTATATCCGAAGCAGCGCCCATGGCATGCCTCAGCCGGCCTAAGCCAAGCCCATGAGTGTCTATCCTCCCTCCCCATTTTCCGGGTTACCTGGTACTACTACCCTCTGTTTTCTCCTTGTGGGCTGCGGGCTGTTGAGATCCTGCAGCCGGGCGTGGCAAGTTCCCCAGCATTGGACGGATTTACCCTCGCTTTCACCCGCGGCTGTTAATTACGCCCTGCAGGGCAGAGGCCTCGCATGGCGTAAGCCATATAGCCCGCAGTCACCTCAGCGTTCCACTTCGTATTGGTGAGCGACTTTGCCCTCGCTTCGCTTCGCGGGATGGCCTGTTCGGCATCCCGCGCCGTCCAGAAGCAAAAGGTACGCGGTAACGACTGGACAGTGCTACCAATTTATGCACTTTATATATGCACCCAACCGAAATGCTGAACTACCGAGCTGGGCTCCCACACCCTCAACTTTTTTGTGTGTATAATTATACCTACCGTCGCCAACACCGGCCGTTGCCTATGCTGTTCCTTGTCCTTTATTGTTGACAAAGGTCGGTTCTTGCTCGCCATGTTGTTCGACCGTCGCCTCGTAGCCGGTCTGGCTGGCCTTGTAGCCGCCACCGGAGTCAATGCCGCATGCTCTTCTAAGCTAGTGATCGACGACTTTACCACGTGGCTGGACGGTGTCAACAATCTGGATTCGCAGAATGGAGGTACGTTAGTATCTGGAGCCTTCTCGAGGTACCGACTTACAGCAAATCTGTAGACGATGGGACCATGACGGCCATTGCTGCCGCTCCCGGCCATGTTGACTTCATCCCGAAGGATGACGGTTCCTACTATTACGAGTCCTTCGAATGCATACAAGCCATTACCGAGGGCTACAACGCCATCGAGTTCACCGTTCAGGGGCCCGCTGGAGGCTCGTTTGCTTTCGAGCTACAGACGACAGCAAGCTGCAGCACCAGCCAGGAAGGAAGCTACAACAGCTCCTGGAACATTGTGACCGACTTGACCGGCCAGCGTCAGACGGTCACTCTGCCCCTTGAAGGATGGGAAGACTCGCCAAACTACGACGGAATCGTCGGCCTGGTGTGGTCAACCTTTTCTCAGACGGATGTTGTATGGTCGGTTGGAAACGTCACCCTCCTCTGCGGCGGTGGTGGTAGTGGGGAATCCACTGCGCCGGGCTCAAGTAAGCATCGACGACTAGTTCGGGGAGGCAATTTCAATGGACGGGCTAACGAGGCCCGGGCAGCGGCGCCGCCGACCAGAACATCCAGCCTACCCACGACATCCAGGGCCACTACGCTCCCGCCAACCGTCACGTCCAAGCCAGGCACCTGCTCGAACTTGCTGATCGACGACTGGGAGTCCCAGTCACGCCTGACCTTCCTTGGCTACAACGCTATGCTCCAGACTTCGAGCGACGACGCGACCATGTCTTCGGTTGTCGTCAGTGATAACAGGGTCATGCTGACCCCGGTCGACGACGATTCGTACTTTTACAGCCAGTTTGGCTGCCTCGACACCAAAGGCCAGTACGGCGGCATATCGTTTCCTATCAGGGCAGCAAAAGGAACTAGCTTTTCCGTGACCGTGACGTACGCGACCACTTGCGGCTCCGGCAGGGACAAGGAGGTCACCCTGACGACCTCGCAGCTGAAGTGGACATTTGATGGCACCGAAAAGCTCTACTCCTTCCCCTTTTCCGCTTTTACTGGCGTCGACACCAGCAAACTCACCATGGTCTACTTCGCCGAGTTCAGCGGTGCCGTCGTTTTTGGGCCTATGTCCTTCTACTGTGGCACCACCGCGTCCGAGTATACCATCCCGGCAGGCCCCGCGACGTCGCCGCCGATCACGCGCTCCACGACGTCGGCTCCCGCGCCGGCCAAGACGCTCTTGATCGACGACTTTGCCAACTCCGAGACCAATGCCCTGGGGCGAGTGGCACGGCGCCGACGAAGAAGGCCTGACGACTACCTTTGGAAACAAGGTCATGACCATCCGCACCAACGACTCGGACCTCGCCTGGAACACGCAGCTGTCGGGCGACTGTATCGACATCCGCAGTTACGCCGGCGGCTACCTCCACATCGCCTACTCTGGCAGCAACAAGTTTAGCGTCGCCCTACAACAGCACAACTCCCAGTGCAACCCGGACATCAAGCCGTACCCCGAAACCTGGACTCGCTCGAGGCGGCGCGCTACAGCACAGCCAGCGACATCTACATGCCCATCAACCACTTCAACGTCAACCTCACCCGCATCATCGGCTTCGCCCTCAAGGGCTTCTACAGCACCCAGGACACCAAGATCACCAAGATGGAGATCGTCGACTCCCTCCCCACAGGCTGGAAGGTCCCCACAAAACTCGCCTCCGGCAACCTCGTCTTCTCCTGCACGCGGCCCAACTCCTTCGCCGTAGCCATCGACGACGGCGACCCGCAGTTCGCCGCGCGCGTCATGGACATCATCAAGCAAGCCGACATCCCGGTGACCTTCTTCACGGTAGGGCTGGCGCTGCTCGACACGACCAACGGCCTCGCCGACATCTACAAGGGCATGGCGGCGCAGGGCCACCAGATCGCGCTGCACTCGTACACGCACCCCAAGATGGAAGGGCTCCCCAGCGAGGCCGACATCGACTGGGAGTACAACAACGACATCGGCGCCGTGCGCCAGGTCTTTGGCAGCGACTCCGGGCCGGGCCACTCCAACTACTTCCGCCCGCCGTTCGGCACCGAGGGCGCGCGCATGCGCCAGCGGTTGGCGGCCACGCTGGATGACCCGTCGCCGTATATCGTGCAGTGGAGCATTGATATCGAGGATTGGATCTGGGCCGAGAGTGATACGCCCGAGAAGCAGCTCGATGCGTTCAAGCGGGATGTGGAGGCCGGTGGGAACTTGATGGTGATGCATTACTTGTATAACTCGACGGTGGAGCTGTTGCCCGAGTTTATCAGGATTGCGAAGGGGACGGGGAAGACGTTGATGAGGGTTGATCAGTGTTTGGAGGATCCGAACGCGCCGCCTCTTTAGGGGGGAGGGAAGGGGAAGGCGAGTAAGGAGCATGTTCATAATGTGGTATCAAGATTGTGTAAAAATAACAGGAGTGGGCGACCAGACATAATGAAGAAGCGCGCCTTGCAAAATAATGTGCGATTATGTTTCTTTTTTGTCACAAGATGGTAATTCGAGTCGCCATTTCGTCCGGGTCATAATACACCTGATATTCCGCCCAGGTCATGATACACCTAACATTGCTTGCCCCCAACCAAACTCCATACGCCGACACCCAGTCCCTCCTCTCCAATGACCCACCCGCCCATGACCGTTTATATCAGACCCCCGTCCCAACTTAAAACTCTTCTACCGCACAGTTCGGGTGCAACACATACACAATCTGTGCCGCCTGGGCCGAGCTCCCCTCGCCCGCATCGTCCCCATCCGCCATGCCCTGCCCGCGAATCGCCATGAGGATATTGTCCTGCCGACCAACGTTAGCATCTCTCCCTTACATAGCATGAAACCAACACCCCAGAAAAGACTCACCTTGACCATCTTCTTCAACACCTTCCTCGCCAGCGCCATCTCCGTGTTATAGTCCTCCTCTCCTTGCAACTCCTCCTCCTTCTGCTCCAAATACCACTCCACCAGCGCATCGCCCTCCATGCCCTCCCCACTCCCCGACGACTCGTCCTCGGCCACCTTAGATACCAGCATATTAACAATCCCGATATACTTATCATACGACACCGTCTGCTTCTCCCTCACAGCAGCCGTAGCCGTAGCCGCGGTCGCCGCAGACGGCGCAGCCGACGCCTGCCTATCCGCACCACCATCCTCCTCCATCGGCTCATCCCCATCCCCATCCGCACCCCCAGGAGCAGCACTCCCAGCCGCCGCGTCGGCAGCCTGCCTCAGCGTCTCCCCATCCTCCATCTGCACATCCCCGCCGCCCTCAACCCCCTCCTCATCCTCATCCACCTCCACATCATCATGCTCCACGGAAATGATACTCTGCCGCAGCAAATGAAACGCCTCATTGACAAAGTCGGCCGTAATATCCTCGACACAGTTCGCCTTGGCAATGGCCTCGGACAGGCGGATCATGCTCTCGAGCTGGCGGACGGTGATGCGGTAGCTGTTGCGGCCGACGCCGCCTTGGGCGTCGTCGGCGCGCAGGTCCTTGTAGCGCTGAACGAGGACTTCTTTGGCCTCCGGGGTGAATTCCGGGCGGAAGGTGCGGGCGAAGCGGATGTAGCGCTGGATCTGCTCGGTCGAGAACTCCGGGGTGACGGCGGCGTCGCGGTTCTGGTGGATGCCGACGATGTGCTCGGCCAGGTGGCGGTCGACCTGCTCGTTGCACTCGTCGAGGATGACGAAGAAGAGGTCGAAGCGGGACATGATGGGGGCCGACATATTGATGTTGGCGCGGAGGGTGGTCTTGCGGTTGTAGCGCCCGCCGACCGGGTTGGCGGCAGCGAGGATCGAGGTGCGCGCGTTGAGCGTGGCTTGGATGCCCGCCTTGGCGATTGAGATGGTTTGCTGTTCCATGGCCTCGTGGATGGCCACCTGGTCGGCGATGTCCATCTTGTCGAACTCGTCGATGCAGCAGACACCGTTGTCGGCCAGCATCAGCGCGCCGGCCTCGATGGTGAACTCGCCCGTCTCTTCGTCCTTGACCACGGCAGCTGTCAGACCGGCAGCTGAGGAGGCCTTGCCCGAGGTGTAGACGGCGCGCGGGGCAAAGTTACAGACGTATTTGAGGAATTGGGATTTTGACGTCGACGGGTCGCCAACAATGCAGATGTTGATGTCGCCGCGGAGCTGCATGCCCTCGGGCGTGGTCTTGCTTACACCCGAGAGCAACTGCAAGAGGATGCCCTTCTTGACGATCTCGTGGCCGTAGACCATGGGCGCCAGTGACTGCACCAGGCGGCCGTAGATGTGGTCGCTGTGCACCATGGCGCGGAGGTCTGCGATCTCCTCTGCGGTGTACGATGCGAGCACGGCGTCCTGCAGCTCCTTGACCGTCTCGGCCGTCTCGAGGCTGTTGCTCCCCGTCATGGCGCCGACCACGTCCACGACCTGCGAATCGCCCGACGCGCCGATCGAAGACACGTCCGAGCTCACCATGCAAGCAAGGAAAGCGAGGCGATAGGTGAGGTCCCGCACGCCCAGGGACTTGAGGCCGCTCACTCCGCTACCTCCCGCCTCGGCCCCGCGGTCGTCGCGAACAGCCACTCGCCGCAGGCCGGGAAGGCCGAGCTGACTGACATCCGGCACCACGATCAAGGCGCCCGTGAAGATGCACTTCTCCCCCGCCTTGGCGCGATCCACCATCTCGCCGCGCAGGATGACGTCCATGGTGCGCGGCATGCTGCCCGTGGGGATCTCGCCGCTGTTCTCCTGCACCCGCACCTTTTGCCAGTCGACAAAAGTGCTCTGCCGGATGTCCAACCGCCATGCCACCCGGTTTTGACAGGTCGCGTTCGGGCACTGCGTCGGTTCGGTATAGCGGAAGGTCTGCTCGACGTCGGGCACCACGCTACTGCACGCTTCGCAGATGAAGGTAGCCAGCGCCAGCTCCGGGCGCACCTCGGACGTGCGGGTGACGGTCCCGCTAATGGAGAGCAGCTGGCCGATATTCCGGGCGCGCAGGGCGCGCACGCGGGAGACGAGGGGGAGGTGGTAGAAGGCGATGGCGAACAGCTTGTCGGTCTGTTGGTTGGCCGTCTTGCTGCCCATCTCGCTCTGGCCCGCCGACGACGATCCCATGTTGCTGGTGCCCGACGTGTGCTGGCTCGAGGCGGTTGCCTGGCGGTGTTCGCGGAAGTACTGCGGCTCGTACTTGGCGATCATGTTGTGCAGCGCGGCGGTGAGGAAGGGTAAGAAGCGGTAGTACGACTCCATGATGCCTGTCGCTAGCGCACCGTTGTGCCAGCTCTCGAGATGCCTATAGTCGACGTAGAAGGTGGATAGCTGGTAGGTGCGCAGTCCGTGGATCTGGGCGACGTAGTATCTGTCGGTCGTGATGGCGCTCGAGGTTGGCTGCGCGGACGAGCTCGGGGTTCCTATGTACCTGTGGCATCCCGTGTCAGCGGAGGGCAATTCCACTTCCTCGCCTCCTTTAAAACAACGACAAGAACAAGACAATCCACCCACCCCTCAATGAAGGCCTCGAATGACTCCTGGATGATGAGGCCGATCTTGTCCTCGACCCTCGGGATGTTGGTGGGGTCTGTTGGCCGGGCGCGCACCGGAACCTGGTCGTCGGCGAACCCCTCGCCCTCGCCATCGCTGAGCGCACCGATGCTTTCTGAGGGTGGTGCTGCCGGTCTACCGCTCGAAGAACCGGGGAGTCGTCCCGCGCGCGGGGTCCTTGAACCAGGGCCATCCGATGTCATGAACCCAGTATCGCTGGGGGTTGCTGTCGGTGTCGCCATGGTGGAGGAGTATGTGTGTAGGTGGGTATGTCTCACAGACTGCGTTGCGAGGCAAGTCTGGTGTTGAGGGGTAATCCGGAGTCGGGTCACAAACAGATTGGGTTGGGTCAAATCCAGGGAGGGAAGGGTGCAGTGGATTGGCCCACTGTAAATAAAACGCGAGAAAACGCGGGACATTAACTGACGCGCTGGGAAAACGCGAAAAGGTGGGCCGAGTTTAATGGATCCGTTATATGCATTATGATGCCTAATGACAAACACATGGAAGCTACGCTAATGCTGTTGAGTGGGTATATGCATTTTACGCACCGAAATGCCTTCTTCCCATCCTACCAAGACTCCAAATGACCACAAGCCGACCAAACCAGTTGCATTTCCAGCTCCCATACGGCTCACCTACAAACAAACTACCATCCCCACGTTCTACTAGCAGCGGTAAACACCGGCGGTTTCCACTGAATCCTCTCAGGATCGATAACGCGCTTCTGCTTAGCCTTGGACTTCTCCCGCTGTTGTACCAGCTTCTCGGGTATCACAATCTTGTGCTCTCCCTTGTGGTACACCTGCATCTTGAGCGCCTGTAGGGTGTGCTCGACGTCCTGAGTCGTCATGGCGAGTCGCGTAGCGATGGTCTCAATCGTACACTTCTCCTGCCCCTCGCTGTACACCAGCAGCAGGTCGAGAATGTTCTCGGACCAATACTGCCGGTAGCTCAGCAGACCCAGATCAGAGAGTGGCTTCTCGGGCGACCCAAGCTTGCCCTCAATCTTGGAGAGCTCGTACGAGAACTGGATCAGCAACCGGCCGTAGCCTTTCCGCTGATACTGAGGCAGCGTCAGAATGCAAGCAACATTGTATGCATCCGCGCTCTCCTTCTCCTTGGAAAAGTACCCGATGAGGTGCGACCCCTTCTCATCCCTCGTCGTCATGACGTAGAAGAGGAACGGGTCTACATCATAGTAAAGTGTCTTGTGATCGAGGAACATCTTGGATAGCAGGCACAGGTTCCGGCACCATGTCCGCTGCCGCCTGCCGTCGATCTCATAGAAGGACACAAAATCATCACGGTAGATCTCGTTTCCCGGCGGGTGCTGCAACGTGCACTTCTGGCGGTGGCGCGAAAACGACTTGAGGTCGCCGTAGTAGCTCAGACAGAACTCGCAGATGTAGATGGAGTCCTCGCGACCGAACACCTCCGGGTAGGGGGAGAAGTACCATGGGAAGAGGACATATCGCCCAAACTCCACCTGGGAGATGTTCCGGATACGGGAAATTTCGGCTGGGTTCTGGGTCATGGAGCCCGAAGTCCGCAGCTTTTCGATTTCCTGCTCTCGGCTGAACGACTGGGTGTGCTCTTTCTTGGCGGCGCTGGCGGGCGTCTCGTCCTCGTCTAGTTCCATTTCGTCGGGGCCGACGCCGGGGGTTGCGCCAACCTCCAAGCTCGCGTTTGCCCTATCCTCCCCATCTGCCTTGTTTTGAGATTCGACAAACTCGGTCCAGGGGTGTGGTGTCTGACCTTCTGATGCGACCGACTGCTCCCGCTTGCCGACCTTCTTTTGCGTCTTTTTTGACGGCTGGGACTTCTTGGAAACTACCGTCGACTTTTTGTTCTTGGCGTCCTTCTGCTTGTCCTTCTCGGAGTTGGGCCACTCGACATCCTGTTCGAAGTCAATTCTCGAAACAGGGACCCATTCGTCTAAGCGCTTGTTGAAGTTGTCAAAGTTGCAGTAGAATTGCCTCCCGCTCTTGGTCTCTTTGATGCTGAGGATCTCGGCGCGGCGTGGTTGGCCGTCTTTGGTGACGTGGGCGATGCATCCGACCCTGTGAAATGTTAGTTAGCGAAATGATGTGAGTCGCATGTGACAAGAACGAGTGCAAGATCCGTACTTGAGCGTATCGGGAGTCGCCTTGCCCTTTTGCCTTGGCCCATCCGAGCCGACCTCGGGTTCGCCGCTTGGACTCATGATGAATATTGATGATGGGGGTGCAGCTCGTGATGGAATGATGCCGCCGAATTCAGTGGGTTCAAAGTGTTGGAATGTCCAAGATCGGAGGGGCGAGGTGCTGCTTGCGCTAAAGATTTACCCTTGTAACTGGGTAGGTACGTACCACGTAACTGGGTGGATTGTGGAAGCAAGTGGTATCGTGCTTACATAAGGTAGTAATTTTGGCGTGCAGACTTGCACTCCTGCCGCCAACACAATCAGCCACACCTAGGTACCTACCTAGGTAATTATCGCAAACTGCAGTACTTTAGGCGAACTTCATGTAAGCTCCAGACCACCCTCTCCTCCACCTGACTCCACATCCTTGACCATAGAACTCCCGTGCGAGGACTGACCTTGACCGTCCTGTGCAATCTGCCCAAGACTGGAGCAGTCGAGTTGTTGAGAAAGGATTCAAGGAGCAACCGGCTGCAGGTTCATTGACATTCATGGGTCCTGGTTGCCTGCTAGTTCACCACAGGAGCCGGGGGTGCTGCCAAGCCATGCCTGGCCAGATGCAGGCTGCAAAATAACACAGGATTTGGTTTAGTTGGGCATGCGCCGACTTGGAGAAAGGTGGGTAGATGATTCGGTCAAGGAGATTCTTCGCTTAGCAGGTTACCCGCACTAGGAAGTACGGCACATACGAGTCCATGTGAATTATCCAGAGCGTGATTTGACCGTCTTTGGAAGCGGCTACCACCAGAGGAAAAAGGTGGCCAAGTTGCGATGCATCCTTGAGCTCATTTCTAACAGCCGTGGCTCGTTCTCTGGCGTCAAAACGCCGTGTCTGCAAAAGTGCGCAACCCACTGGATTCCCACGATCGGTTTGAAGTCCTCTTCGAAGAGAGCCTTCATAATTTTGTTCTCAGTCATGGTCACAACTCTGAGACCTCCCCATCGTTAGGCCTTGGGGTATCTCAGCAGGAAGTTCCATTTCAAAGACATGGAGGACATGGGGATACGAGCCCGGGTTATTCAGAAAGCTGTAGTTAGGATAGTACGAGACGATGCCGCACGACTTCAGGTGCGTTGCGGAAAATCAACAGGGACGCTGGCCTCCTCTTCCGACTCTCTGACCATGGCCGCAAATGCCGTCTCTCCGAGCCTGATACCGCCGCCGGCAGCCGTGTCCAGCTTTCCAGGATGCATCTTCCTGCCCATTGACCGCCGCTGGAGCCAGTATTTCTTGCCCTCAGAGGTCATTGTCCAGGCAATGAGATGCGCCCCAAAAGAGAGCACTTCAAAGAGCTGGCTTCCGCCGCCGTTGTTCATGTTGAAGTTTTTCGAACAGATGCTCCCCTTCCGGAGTCAGCACGCGCACTGGCTCACCGGTCCAGCACAGTTCCTTGATTTTGCCTTCAGCCTTGGCCCGAGAGATTGTGTCATTGATGAACCGCGTTCGAGTGTCAAAGAGGTCTCCTCCGTCAACTGGGGCTTGAAGTTGCAGCATCCTACGTTCCCGGTCGATTGTCCAGTATTGAGGCCGAGTGACGTTGTTGACGATGGATGAGTACACGTATCCCAGGGGCTTGAGATATGAGTTCATGGTGAAATAGTAGTAGTCGTTCGTGAAAAGGGCGTAGCGTACGACTGCGGGTTATCCGCGTAGTAAGGGAAGCTAACAGAAATTGCAGCGAGAGGTTCAGGCCTTGGAGAAAGAAACAATCTTCAAAGCGCCGCAGTACGCATCTGTCAATCTTGTCGACAACGTTGAAGCAATTGTGAGGCACAATCATCTTGGCCGTGAGCGCCACTTTCCCCAGAAGCAAGGCGTGAATCAAAGTCAAAGAGTGAAGCGGTCCTGGGGCCATGCTCCCATGCCAGCGCACACACAATTACACGCCAGCAACCTGTTCTCGACATTTCGGCGATTTTGTCCGAAGACAACAACCGCAAGAAGCTGCAACAAGCTTCGGAGATCCTGGGGGTCTCAGTTTCTGATCTCGTCGCCTTTTCCTCACACCGCCGCCGTGACCACGCTGAACAGCGGTCCCAAACCCCACCCGGCAATGATCAAGATCGGATGTGCGTGAACCCCAAAGCGCCATCAACTTCACAGATCAACCAGCTAAATTCCCTGCCCAGTTGCCAAGTTCAAGCGCCTGCAGGGTACGACTTCAACTGGGCGCAACTTCAGGGAAACGAACCGGGCCACTGGCTGGCCCGGCTCTACCTGCACCGTTGCTTGGATCTGCAGTCACCGCCAGCTCAGCCGCAGATTCCGCAGTTCAGCGCACGTTAGATGACTTTTTGGCACCTCCCAACGGCATCGACACCTCTGGTCACCTAGGGACCACCCCGACTCCCGCAACCGGCCCTACAGCCTCCCTGGGTTGGCCTGCCGCCAGCGGCGGGCTTGAAGAATTGGCCGTGTCATGAGCTCCAGACACAGCGTTTAATCGGTCCATTGTCGGCTTTGAAGATGATGGAGAACTCAATCTCCTGGTGCTCGACAGTTGGGAGCTATGCGCTGGCTGAGTTCTTTGATTTCCGGATTTTCCGAGGAAGGTATCACAATGTATTGGGAGTAGGGGTTACCTATTCATGAAGACTTTTCAAGGGTAGATGCCTTGAGGTACTAAGCGAGTCTTTATTGGTGTTGGTGTTGAATATTGGTACGGAACACATACATTGTCGGGTATGGCTTCCATTCAACGTGAGTTGCCCCACTTGCTTCTCGAGGCGCTGACAGGTACAAATGTACGTGCCTCTCAGCCCCGACACATGGCCAGGTGGCGTAAGTATATTTTTAATTGTCCCTTTTCAACTGTTCCACCACCCGTTGGTAATGGCGTGGTTATCTCTGAAGTTTTGATCTTTTTGGTAATTAGACCTTTAAATAAACAACACAAGGGGGTGGGTGAATGGGAATCAGGTAGCCACGAATACAGGTGAGGATTCACCTTCGTGGATCCTGCAATGACAACTTCTTGTCTTTGCGTTGTTGTTCAAAAGGGCAGTATCTTATCCCCAAGGCTCCCAACTCCAGCCTCTTTTGATCAGACACGCAACTTTTATTCGAAGAATACCAGTGAAGCAACGTGCCAGCAAAGCGAGAGAACGAGAACTGAGCAAAACCGATCCAGTCAGCCCCTCCCTCACCCCATGATTGGTCTGATGGGCCCACTTTTGCTGCCAAAAAATTGGGCGATCTTTCATTTACCCCTCCCCCACTACATCTTCAGCCTCACGAATCCTCCCCAATCCGTTGTTGGGTCACCAATTACCCTTCGCGTCAACGACAGGGCCTTTTGCTAGAAACAAAAAACCCCGGCTCCGGCACTAAGCTGCTGTTTTGGGCCATCGTTACGAATGAAGAAAACAAAAGCATCCATGTTGGGGCGTGACCGGAAAGCGTCAATGGATCCAGTCACCATCGAGTCGTCATCCATCCCCTCAGCCTCGACCGACATCCGGGAAGCATCCATCGGCCTTGGATCGGGATAACCCATAACTAATGAGAACGCACCAACTCGACGGTTTTTTTCCAGGTTTCGCACCCTACAGCAACAGACTTGCCATCCGCCGCGCGACGGTGACCTGCATGCATGATGCAGATGAAAATGGATCCCTGCCAAAAGTATGAGAAGGCTGCTTCGAGTGTCTCAATCCGTCGGGACGGATCCGGCGGATTGGGAGACGGAGTGCCCTTCCAATGGTGTGCGAGCCAAGTCGACGTCCGCACCATGCGGCCGCGAAATGGGTCGCTGGAAGCCCTCATCGGTATCTGCAACCCCCATCGACGGCCTCGATTGCCCCTTTTGGGGTGAGTGGCGGCTGGACTGGGGTGTTAACACTGTTGTTCACCGTGGAACGAGGACGGCTTCTTCGGCCACAGACGGCCGGGCAGGCTCCCATCCATGATTCGGACCCGCCTTGCGGTTCGTTTTCCTCTGCGTTGGCGGGCCTTTCACATTCACCGCGTACCCTGGTTGGGCATTTTGTGACATGTTCTGTCCGCTTCTTTTCGAGGCTTTCACGAGTTCCCATGTCTGTGGCGTTTACACAGTAGACTTGTGACACTGACCTTTACAACTGCTGGCATGGCCCGGGCAGCCGGCTGCCATCGTGTCAGTCATGTCAACAGCGTAAGTGCCCAGGCGCCCAAGCACCCATGTGCCCCGCCGGTTTCCAATCTAGGATTATGAAGATGCAAAAGCACCGCATCGCCGCGCTCGCCGCCTCGCATTCCTCGTTAGACTTAAATATCTGCAGTTCGCTTGCTTCGTTTGTTTTTCTCAAGCCTTCGCTCATGTCTCTACTACAACATCGCGGGCCCGTCGCGCCTCCCCCGTCGGCCAGCAAACAGCGTGTTCTCGGATCTTCTGGCCGCCATGTCCACCACAACGGGGAGTCTCCCTGACTTCACCCCCTATCGAAGCATCATCGAGGACCTGTACTGGAAGCAGAGAAAAACATTAGACGAAGTCATCAAGATTATGAAGGATGACTATGGTTTTGAGGCAAGGTACAAACCTCCCTTTTGCTTCTCGGTGATAGAGGAAGGATACTAACCCCTTGGAGACACAAAAGATACAAGACTCACCTCTCCAAGTGGGGCAAGAAGAAGAATGTCAGCGAGGAGGAGTCGCTTGCGATGCTCGAGATTAGGCGGAGACGCCGTTTAGAGGAGAACAAGGATACCGAGTTCACTCGTTTTGACAGGGACATTGACAACAGGAATCTCGATCGCTTTGCAAAACGGCACAACTATGATATGGGCAGTAGCAACCCCTTGCCCGAAATACGGGGTAGTACCTATCCATCGCCTTTTTGTTACCATTCTGGCGACTTCGCTGACACAAGGCTCGACAGTGGTAACTCCCCCGAACATCAGGTACAGAACCCCCGACATTGACACACCGACCAACCCTCCCCCGGCGGCGAACCCATCCTACTCTACATCAACGGCGAGCGAGGAGCAGCAGGCACCCGCCGAAGAGTATCTCGGGTCGTATAGTGCCAACACCCCACAAAGCGGCGAGATGTCCTCAACTCGGCAATATGGCGATGCCTTTGCAGGGTCCCGACCATCAAACCACACGGGCATGCCTCTGCAACCCACCATGAACCCCTTCCCCGGACATCCAATCCCGCACGCGGCTCGGGGTTTCCCACAGAACGATACGGGGTCCACGTTCCCTCCCACGCCATACCAAGATCACACCCAACTTCCTCCCCATGCATCCAACATCCCCGCGGCCGGTGTGTCTCCCTGGGGTTACAACCCACAGCCGCCGCAGCCCGCCTCTCAACTGCCAATCTTTGGAATGTACCCCAGTGTCTCGGCCTTCCCCAGCAACTACAGACAAGGCATGGAACCGGGAACCATTGTCGCAGCCCCTCTCTATGATAACGGCAAACCCCTGAGAACCATGAGCGTCCCGGAAAATATACCGCTCCACGGCACTGCGGTTGGTAATGGGCACCTAACTGGTGCTATGTTACACGATAATGTCGATCCCAGTTCTGCCATGCCCTTTACCCACACGGACGACCACACGTTGTGTGCTGGGGATGACGAGTTGGAAGAGTTGGATGGCCTGATCGCTTGGCCCAACAAAAGGGCAAGGCGCATGTAGTCCAGCTGATGCGGTACGCCATGGGGAAGTTGGGCATGGATGGCTCCCACGCTGGTGGGCGTTGGATCGATGCAGGTCATGTGGTTGATAGAGACTTAAAATTTGGAGAAGCATTCCAGCAGTATTTCAGATGCGAGGGTGAACTCAAATAATAGGAGGTAATTAAGGAAGATATTAGTCTGCCATTGCTGAGTAATCCTAGCCTCCTAAACTCGGACACTTCAACATAAAATAGAACATGAGGTAGGTGCCCACCCCTTACCGTGGTCCGTACCTTAGGCAGGGGTGGAGATATCGCCAAGCTGCCAAAGTCTAGTAATACGAATACTCCCAAGAGCTCCGTTCCGGTTCCTTTTTATTGCTTGCGTAAAGGCCTTCGTACCGGTCACCCATCACGTAACGCTCGGCGGATTCCTTGATTTTTCGGTTCTCAATTTCCGTCCAGTCCGATTTGTAGTTGCGGACCTGTGATTCCTCGGTCCAGAGCCAGGGGTAGATGAAGTTGGCATAAAACCGGGCGAGGCCATTGTGAGCCAAGTGCGTTAGGGGGCGTAAGAGGGCCATGTGGGCTTTCATGATCGTGTCCCCTTCGGAGACGGTGATTGTTGCGGTATACGCGTCCGGGGTGACTTCGTTTGCCCCTGCCCCGACTAGTCGTAGAGTAAGCGCGGGCAGATTGACCTTATCTTGAAGCCAGTCGACCGTTGCCCACCAGTCGTCCATCGCAGGGTGGCCGGCTTGAGGCCAACCGGAAGGGGGGTATGGAGGGAAGACCACCTCGAGGAAGCGAAGATAGGCCAGGCAGTGGGTAGGGATGACTTCTCGTAGAAATTGGGATACAGCAAGGCGCTCGTTTGGGTAGTCGCGTCTAGGAATACGATTTTCCTCCCAAGTTTGGCCGCCAATACAGGGCATCTCCCAAGGCGGGCAGGTCCGGTAATCATGGATGACGAAGCAGTTTCCTGAGAAGAAGACGAACTGGGCATCCTGATACAAGGTGCGACAAATAAGGAACAGGGTAGGCCCTGGGGGAGCCCAGCACTTGCACTTGAACGAAAAGGCAGAGTGGCGACGGCGACAAAAACAACCGATGAATGGGCCAGGGCCTTCGTTGTACCAGCAATGGAAAAACTGGCTGCGATACAGGTGGTCGGGCGAGGTCGAGGGTTCGACGGAAGATGTAATATATCCGTGATCCTGTCTACTCCACGTGACCTGCCTGCTCGGGACGATAAGGTCGGTATACTCGAGAATACGAAGGCGCAGTTCGCGTGGGAGGGTTGTCAGAGTAGACAGCAACGATGGCTTTGAAGACGGAAGAGCGATGCCGCAGGCGCGCAGGACGCTATCTTGAGCTACCTGCTGGAGTTGACGGTTCGGGGTTTTAGAAAGCCGGATATGGCAGTCTCTCAAGGGCGGTAGGAGGCGGAGCGGCGTAGTGATGGCCATCGCAATCTCGAGTGCCCGGTTGTGGCGAGGGTCAATATCACAAACGAGGGCGAGCTCAAGGCGCCCACTGGGAATAGAGGATGATAGACGGGCCGCGGCCGAGAGCCATTTGCTTTGCAGAGCTCGAGCCACCGCTAACCTATCTTCATCGCCACCCTCTATAGAGTTGCCACCTTCGGAGGACGGGAGCGAGCAGGCGGGAAGTGGTGTAGGTGGCTGTGGTCGGTTTTGCAATAGATAGGCGCCATCCCATTGATTTTCTTCGCGACCTTGGAGGCAACAATGGAGGGTTTGGGCCGTACCCTGGAAAAGTGGTGACCAGGAAGCCTGGTTGAGGATGATGGGTTAGGCTCGTCAGCGACGCTCAGTGACGATGTGGTGAGAGCGAGGAGAGGCCCCGAGGGGTTCCGGGTGCGCAGGCTCATAGTGGAGAATGAAGCGGTTGGCCGAGTACAAGAGAGTAGCCGTCTCGGCGTAAATGGCGCGGCAAGAAAGGAGCAAGCCATAGAAGTGACTGGGGTACGGCACATCCCCCCACTCCTCGCGTCCATGACGCAAGTCGAATCTGTATGATGGATGCTGGCCATCCCATCTTACCAGCCCAAGGTAGCGGTAAATGCGGTGTCGGATGCGCGGGGTGAGGCGTAAAAGCGGCGAGTCGGACCCTGTGTGGACAACGTGGTAACTTTCCAGTTGGTTGACTTCATGTTGGTTCGGGGGTCCCGGCGGTACTGTTGTGGTGGCCCAATGATTTTCCATTTTCAAGCCATGAATTGATTTTGGCCCCTGGGTGCGGTGTTTGTTTTTTTGCAAGCTGATCTCAACGTTGCGCAGTCTGGTGGCACAGAGGACCAAAATTAAGAGGTTAGGAAATCGCACCAACAAGTGGTTTTTCAAACAAGGCCGGAGCGGACGAGTTAGTGGCACAGTGGGGGGGAGGGACCAAACATCGGACCAAACATCAGACACCAGGTCGTTCGTCTCGGCCCCCATTGGCCCATCGGCCACATTGGCGGCTCCTTGTTTCGACCGGCGGCACATCAAAGTGGTAGGGACATGCCCAAGCCAGCGACCGTCCGAGACTCTGAGTTCTGATGGAGCGGCTCCTTTCCGAGTCCTTCCCGACCTTCTTTGGGCGCGTCCCCCGATGTGGCCATCGTGTGGGGGCGATGGGACACCGCCTTCATGCCCGGGATGGGGATATGGAGTATGGCAGCCATGGCATTGACTGGAGTCATCATGGATGGGACCTTCACAACCCCCCCCCCCCCTACCCCCGTCAGCTAAGGTACTCACCTTCAATACATAGGTACATAACCCTTGACTGGGTACACAAAGTTCCAGAAAAGGAGTGGGGGGTCTGGGTGAAACCTCAATCTCAGGCTGTGCCCAATGGCCGCCAAGGTCGGTGTTAGAGTTGGCTGAGTCCAACAGCTTCGAATTGTGTTAGACACCACTTCAACCGACCCGCCACCAACCTGCCATCGAGGTCGTCTCTACCCCTGGGCGAGGGTGCGCGGATGTCCTTGGGTATTGGGTGGATTGTAAGTTGTCTGGGATTCAGGCCCTCCTTTGCTCCTCGTCAATAGCACTCTGGAGTCTCGACAAATTCCTACCTGTCTATATACGGTACCCATCAGTCTGGGGTCTACTGGGTACCCGGTACCTAGCTCTTTCTGAGATCAGTTTCGGCGCTCGCCCCAGTGTCCTGGGATCTGGCCGTTTGTCAATACGGCCAGTGGCCAGTTGCTGCCAATCCCAATAGGTGAGAGGTCTTTGCCGCGACTGTCCTGTTTCAAGCATCACGAGTTGACCGCTCACCTACTTTGGCAGCCGTTTAAAGGGGGGGGCCGGGACGCAGCTCAGGGGAAACACAGATAGATAAATCCAGGCCTGGGAACGCTGCGTCTCTACAACTTCATCTCCTCATCAGTCAACGCCCCTTCTTTCCTTCTTCCTTGTACCTCGCCGGTCGAGAACAGAGATTATCATCCCATCCACATACCACATACCTTCTTTTATTTACCCGAACCACTCCTTATACTATCTACTTGCCGGGCGAGTAGTGGTGTTCTTACGTGTATTCTCTATCCTGTCACTTACCTCCAATCCGTTTGCTTCCAGTTCTACGATCCCACCCCGACATGGCCGCTCCCGCCCAATCCACCTCGGTCCATTTCCATAATGGATTCATGGACCGAGCTGATAATAAGGAAAATTCAATTTGAATCAAGGAACGAGGGTACGAATCGAGACCGACATGGCAACAGCTTTTTAACGACGGCATGCAATGCTACTATTGGCTCCGCAGCGACCAATCCTCGAAGGGGAATTGCCTGACTACCAAGAGCAAAAGCTGTTTAGTTGCGACAGTTTGTTTCGATGACGATGGATACTACAGGGTATTCCACTGTACGATCCCTCGAGGCCAGTTCGAAAACTATATGTGGAGTGGTGCCTTAAAAACACCACAGTGGTGGGCCGCGGCAAGTACCCCTATCCAACCTGAAACCCTTCCAAACCCACTGTTCCATGCGGAGGATGGCGCCCTTTTTTTATGCGAGTCAACTATGGGCACCTTAGTCCCAGGTCCGGGTTGCGAAGGGGTTCGCATGCTTGTGTGTGGATTAAAAGGGGGCACGTCTAAGCCCGGGAAAACCAAACTCTGCGCAGCCGGGAGCCCGAAAAGGCCAGACTCCAAAACGGTCGCGGAGCGGCTGAACGTAAGGTTCCTTGGTACTGGCAGCCCCAGTGATCTAGACGCGGCAGACGCGCTTCTACACCAACAGCAACTGCAACAGCAACAGCAACAAAGACCATCGAGCAATTCTAGCAATGAATCCGGCTACTCCGGGGGCAGCATCCTGGACAGTGCCTACATTGATCCATCAAACGGGGACATCGTCGCCAGCGATGGGACTCGCGGCTCGACCCCAGGACGCCCACATCAGGACCAGGGGTCACGGTCTCGCAGGAGCGGAGCTCCCTCGTCAAATTCGATGTCTCTGCTCACTCAAGGCATGTCAACGCTCAGCATGGGCCGCGGCGGCAATGCCAGACATTCCAGAGGCCCGCAGAATGGTGGAACAGCTGCCCAATCTGGAGGTTTTCAAGTTTCCCCCCCTCGAGGTACCGGTCCTCAGTCAGCCAACCGCTCCACGCTACGGCAGTCTTCAGGTTCGGCTCAGACCACGTCTCGACAGTCTTCCACCGTTCGGCTCACGACCAGGCCGTCGTCCTCTGGGCAGTCGACAGCGAGAGACCCTCGGAGGTCAGCTGGCCGAGAGGAAAGACGTGGATGAGAAGGACATGGAGAGTGGGGGTTTTGATGGTGATTGATGCGCAAAGAGATCGGAACTGTACCTTAGGTATCGTCCTAGCCCAGGAGACCTAGAACCCGTAGTGCAATCCACCATTTCCCCCTTCTCTACCTATTTGGTTTCTAATTGGAATTTGGGCCGCTGTTAATACCAGACTGTGACTTGAGTTGACGCCATGACGTAAACATGAGCGCGCAAAATGGACTGATGATCGAAGAGCACCTACTGAGTGTCCTGAGTAGCAGGCTTTTATATTCATGTCGTCAAGACTAGAAGTCTGGGTCGAGTGGTTACCTAGGTACTCAGGTTGGCAGCCATTCGCGTCACTCGGCGGGCTAAGATAGTACCCTCGAGAGCTGCCAGCGGATATAACCTGTGATGGCAAAGGGGCGACTCGTGTGTCCCAATAAACCGACATCCCACCGCATTGCATCGTACCGGTCGAATGATTGGTACCTAGGTGCATACCTAGGTAGGTAATTAGAAAGCATATGCAGTTCATCAGAGCAAAACATTTAAATCATCGTCCAGCTCGTTGCACCATTTACCACATCCTGCGGAGCATAACGGGACTTGAGATTTCAGCAGGACCAAGCCAAGCCGGCATATATTTCAAAGTTGACAGCTAGCCCCTATTTCTTATAATTTGCCCACACGTCCGAACCCTCCTCCCACCTTATCCAACATGCAGCGGCCATATCCAACAGTCTTACTGCCGCTTGACACCAGACCCAGAGACGGGCCCCTCCTTTGCCCATGCTCTCTCTAATTGTCCGGGATGGGATCGCAGCCCGAAGCGACGGTGCAGATGTGTCCGAGCGTGCAACAGCCGACGAAGTTGACGGCGGCGGCGAAGTTCATTTCCGTGCAGGCCTGTGTGCAAAAGATGAGAGTTAGACCGAGCTTGATCCTTGGATGCGTACATGTACATAACCGGCGACACGGTACACCCGCCCAGGATGAGCGGATGGTGGGTTGGTTAAGGGGGTAAACATACGACGCCTTCGTTCACGGGAGTGCCGCCGGTGCAGCACCTGGTCGTGTCGGGGCTGGGGCCTTCTCCCTCCCCATCTGTCTGGCAGACGCACGCGTACGAGCAGCCCTGGCGGGTGGTGAGAAGGCCAAGGTTGGTCGCGGCGTTGGGGCTGGGGGCCGCCGTGGCGAGGGTGGCAATGGTGAGGAAGATGGCGGTGGTGGCCTTCATGTTGCTTGATTTGCTGGTGCTGGGTCTTGTTTTGCTGTCTGCTCTTGGTGCTTTTCTATTGTGTGGTGCTGAAAATCAAAGGGGCTGAAAGAGGAAGCGAGGACATGTATTTATACACAAAATAGGCCCTTCCGCACCCGAACTTTCCATCATGAACGGCTCCTGGACCCTACCCAGACATGTGGGCTCAGCAGGAGGTCACTATCGTCAGTTTCTGGATAGGATCTGGCTCCTCCTTTGCAGAAGGGGAAATTTGGTATGAGCATCAGTCTCGGCATGAAGAGACAAGTTTGGTTCTCGAGTGAAAAAAGGGGAGGCTCAAGTGTGCCGTCGTACAGAGTTCCTAAAATTTGTAAATGAAAACATCTCAAGGCTGAATCGTAACGATTCCAGTCGAATTTGGAGGGATCGTCGTCTGAGCATAGCCCCCTTGAACACCAAGTAGTGCGTTTAACAAACGTAATTATATTAACTACCCAAAAGTCAAGCATGGAAGGCTCAAGTGATTCCTACCCGTCTTCTCATTATTGTCGATCCCCGTTGCCGGACCTTATTATTAGGCAACTTGGGTTCTTTCAGTTCCGCCCCCAAGAAGCCGGATATCGCCAGTGTTGTGGATGCGCCCCCCAACACACTCTGCGCTTCCTGTGGTTTCTGAAGATTGAAAAGCGCAGAAATCCATCAATCCTTCCATGATCCGGCCCGGGGTTTTTGGAATTTTCCCCTTCCCATCAACGCCCTGGGCCATTGCACGTGGCCCCCACAGCATCCTTTGGCGGGATGAACCATACATATATTATGTGATGCATCTGCCAAGATTCAGGAACCTGATTCGTCTGCTAGGTACCTCTCCTTTTCCCGGGGTTTATAGCAGTGGCAGATTGAGGCGGTGTCTGCACGAGAGGCAGCACTGCCTCCCTCGAAGCTTCCATGTTGCCTACCCGCAGGTAGTATTTACATTGTGCACCTGAGGTATGCTGCGGATGAAGGAGCGCATGATGCATCTCAATGATCTCATCAGTCTCATGTGATTCGCTTTTGTTTTCATTTTGTCACAATCACCCAAACAACATGATGGTCCTGGTAGGGAGTTGACACCCGTTGCCACACTTGCTGCCAAGCTACCTAATCCAATTGATGTCGAGTACGAGTTGTGACGATGTAAAATATAGAGGTCGTCTCGATGCACGGTAGGCTCCGTCTCCTTGTATGGTACTATGTAGTTTGGCTCTCCATGTCGTTGTCGATGGGGTTTAGCCCAAATGAATCACCAGACAACCAGCGGAGGTTATCTGAAACACCTAATACTGCGTTAGCATGTTGACTGACCGGATTAGGACGTGGAGCACGTACACTCACGTGAAGGCATTGTGTTTGAGCGTGGAGCACGCTTCTGGGACGGCTTGGTCTTCAGTTTTGGGTTGCTTTTCCCGCCCGTGACGAGGTCAGCCCATATAGCACCGATTTGGACCGCCCATGTGGTACATACACTCCGCGAACAACATGCTCAAGATTCAAGGCGCATTTCACAACCAACAAATGGATGCACAGCTGCGTCGGGCAAGAGTTTGGTGGGGCCAGTGGGCCTGGGCACGTCTAAGCCGAATACGGTTAGACAACAAACCTCGGTTCGTCCCGTCGCCAATCTCATTTCTCGATTCTGATTTTCAAGACCAGCAACAGCACCTCCCATCACTCACCCCACCACTCACAAATAATACTGAAGCTTCCTCGAGTCACTGGAAGTTAAGCTGACCATGTCCGGACTCTCATCTAACTGGAAAAAGCTGCAATCCAAGATCAAAGCCGAGTCGACCCCACGGCCTGCACCACCAAAAAGGAAGGCCGACGACGTTGATCATCAGCCCAGGGCTGCTGAGGCAGGACCGAGGAAAAAGCAGAAGAAACAAGAGCAGCATCAGAAACAGAACCCCCCCCAGCCATCAAAACGACTCTCGAAAACATCTTTTCAAAAGTCTCACAAACCCCCCATGGGCAACACCCAGTCCTCCAAGATCGACCCTATCCCCCCTAAACACGGCGTCGCCCCCTCCCTCGCCGTCTGGGCAGCAGACAACGGCATCTCGCCAGAGTCTATAGCCGAAGCCTACGGCCTCGGTATCCAGTCCAACTCCCTCCTCTCCACAGACAACCCGGGCCGCCCCAACGAGGGCCTGGCCCCCGGTGTCGAGGTAGGCAAGTATGTGGGGATCGACTGCGAGATGGTCGGTGTCGGCGAGGGCGGGCACGACGACTCGCTGGCGAGGGTCAGTGTGGTCGATTTCCACGGGAAGCAGGTCTACGATTCCTTCGTGAAGCCGCGGGAGCGCGTCGTCGACTGGCGGACCCACGTCAGCGGTGTCGCCCCGAGGCACATGGCGAAGGCGAGGACTTTTGACGAGGTGCAGGCGCAGATCGCGGACTTGCTCAAGGGGCGCATCGTGGTGGGCCACGACGTCAAGCACGACCTAAGGGTGCTGGAGCTGGGCCATCCCTGGAAGATGATCCGGGACACGGCCAAGTTCTCGGGCTTCAAGAAGTATGCCAATGGGCCGAAACCCGCGCTGCGGGTGCTGGCGCAAGAGTTGCTGGGAGTTGAGATTCAGACGGGGCAGCACTCAAGCATAGAGGATGCGCGCGTGACGATGCTGCTGTTTAGGAAGCACAAGCCCGCCTTTGACGTGGAGCACGCAAACCGGTATCCAGACGAGCAACGGCCGAAGCCAAAGGCCGGCAAGGGGAAAAAGACAAAAAAGCGCTGACAGGGCGAGATGGCCGGTTATGCCAGAGGAAGTCAGATCATAAGACGAAAAACCTAATATGACAAAAACCCGATGAGATCCCAACATTCCGGCCCCTACAAAGGAATGCCCTCCATCAGCTCCATGGTGCCCTCCCTCGCAACAGTGATGATGACGTCCCCAAGCGTCTTGGTCTGGAAGCCGGCTTCGCAGTACGAGAAGCAACACTAGCTTGTCAGCATCGCGGCCACGATTCGGGGAGAGGTTCGCTTACCTCCCACTTCCGCCGGAACACCTCAATGTCCTCCTCTTCCATGTCTGGGTAATCCCTCATCAGAGCCGGGCGGATCTTGTCCTCGAAGTTCGCAAGGAACCGCTCCCTCCAGAGCCGCAGCGTCTTTGTGTAGTGGCCGCCAATGTTCTCGACCTTCTCCACCACAAGCGTGCCCTTGGACTCGGCGGTGATGTGGTTGAGCAGCTGGGTGACCGACGGGATGTACCCGCCTGGGAAGATGTAGCGGTTGATGAAGCTGCGATGCTCATTAGTTTTTCTGCTTTTGCTGGCGGCCCTGGGCAAGTTACTCTTCCCGCCACTCGTACGCCGCCTGCCGCCCCTCGGGCATGGTGATGCACTGGAACACGGCGATGCCCCCGTTCTTCTTGAGCAGCCGGTCGACGGTGCGGAGGTAGGTCGCCAAGAAGTCCTTCCCCACCGCCTCGATCATCTCGACCGACACAATCCTGTCGTACCGTCCGGCGTCGTCCTCACCCTGACCGCCACCAACATCCTCACCCCGATCCTCACCCTCACCACCCTCACCACCCTCACCACCCTCACCACCCCTACCCGCATCCTCACCCACCCAAAACTCCCCAAACGGACCCGGCACCTCCCGATAACCCACCAACCCCTCCCTCCTAACCCTCTCCCCCGCCCACACCTGCTACGCCCGCGACAGCGTCACACTCGTCACTCGGCCGCATCTCCTCCCCGCAGCCGTCTCCCCCGTCTGTTGTTGCTGCTGTTGCTGCTGTTGCTGGTGCTGTGCAGCTTGGATGATCAGGGAGCCCCAGTCGCTGCCGATCTCGAGGTGGTCGGTGGGTTGGAGGTGCAGGTTGGCGAGGAGGTGGGTGGGGGGGTGGTGTTGGGCGTTTTGCAGGGCGGAGAGGGGATCTTCTTCCTCTGACGGTTCGTGTTCTTCGTCAGTGGTGGTGGCGGTTGTGGGGTTGGGAGTGGTGGGGATGTGAGTGTGAGTGGCGAGGAAAGGGTTGGCGGAGGTGGTGGGTGCGGGAACCGGTGTGGGAGTCGAAGTCGACGTGGAACTGTCGCTGGTAGGCCAGATCGGGCACGAGTAGGTCATGTCGGGGGGAAAAAAAGGCCGCAAACAGGTCGTTCCCGAGGTCGTAGTGTGCTGCGGCGTTGCGGAGCGCCGCCTCGGCCGTGTTGGGCGTTGTCCCTAAGCAGGTGATGAGTCGTGTAAGCCGAGAGACGACGGTGCCGAGGAACGCAGACCACCAAGTGCTGCCGTTGTTGAGCCGGGCGCGGTTGATGATGAACAGCCGGAAGAAGGCAGTCAGGTCGTCGCAGGTCACCTCTTCGAGGAGGTAGGACTCAGCGAAGCCCATGTCGGCGTGGGGGAGGAGACGGGTGTAGAAGAGCGGGGGGGAGACGGCGAGGGTGACGATGGAGTTGGTGAGGGAGGCGGGGCCGTGGGTATTGACTTTGGCGTCAAGGTCGAGCTCGCCATCGCCGTCTACGTCGAGGTCGTCATCGCTGTCGCGCAGCTGGCCAAAGACGTGGCATTCCCCGAAGGGCTCGTCGACGAGAATTAGGGTGCCGATTTCGATGGAGGATAGAAGACACAATATGGAGGATCTGGCGATGGTGATGGCTTTGCCGAAGATGAGACACCGCAGGTTGTTGAGAGAGTAGGCTGTGCAGCTATAAAGGTGCCGTAAGAAGAAGCCAACGAGGCCGATAGGGGAGAACAAGGGCGCCATGGGAGCAGTAGTCGGCGTCTGACAGCAGCTGGTAGCAGCTAGCCAACATGTACCTCTTATCCAGGGGGTGAGAGGGCGGATGAGTGGTTGGTATGGAGGACGAGGCGTAGTTGACTTATACCAACGGCATCAAAGAAACAGGAGGAGACGGATTTACTCAGGTCGGCCACTACAACAAGTGAAGAATCGCAGTATGCGGGTGGTCTTTTAGATGACATTGTGGCTCGCACAAACAGGGTTTGTCTAGGGGTCTCAGGACGCTATTGAGCCATATGGTGCTTAGTGACTCACTTCAGTGCTTGATTCCAAGTTTATTTAGGTACGGTTCCATGTCCTGCTTTTGTTACACATGTGAAAGGGATGTTCGGGGTGTCTGGGCTGGCTATGTGTTCTAGAAGTAGCGGTGGTGTGGTGAACCAAGCAGATGCCTTTTTCACCTTTGCAGCTTGTAAGGAACATTACGACTGGGCGTCTCGCTTTTTTTGGGTCCATTGTTAGTAAGTTAAAGGTGGCGATCTTGAGAGCCCCTTGTGTTTTGGTCAATGGCTTCATCTTGGGGCTTTGGGTTTCGTGAGCGCACAGCATCATAACTGACGCGGCTCATGGAACGGAGACAATTTGACCGGCATGGAGCACATAGACCAGGTGTTGGGTTATCTTATCCTTTGATGGAGTTTTCGGCACTTTAGAGTGTCTTGGTTTACGGCAATGTTGGATAGGGTAGAGGCGATAGGTAGTTTTATTAACGCCCGGCGGGTTAACGGAGAGGGCAGCTATTACAGTCTGACTATACATTTCCCAAGATATGTCCTGGTCTCCTTGAAGCCCGTAAGTTCATTCTAGTTCATACAGTCCGTTCTGATTTCCATTTCTCTACGGATTCTCGTGGGTGAGTAGGGTTGTTAGTAGGCTGGCTTGAAGGCGATTCTCCAAGTGTTCAACGTCCTATCTTCGGCGGCTGAAGCGATGCCTGTTATTTGCGTCACGAGGTGAGGGTATCGGTGCTATCGGGTGTGGTGGGTTAGGTGGTTTAGTCGGCCTGTGGTCCGTTCGTGTCGAGTCGGCCCGTCGCCATTGCAAAATGTATGGTTGCGCGAACAGCTGCCATGTTAGGAGTCCAGTCGTTCTTGTCCAACGGCGATTTCCCTCCCAGATAGAAGGAAATATTGCTTCTCTGAGTGTCTGTACATTTGAGCATCTCTGTTCGGTACGCTGTCCATTTTGTGCATCGGAATAGGAAGTGGTCCACTGTCTCTTTAGCTTGCCGGTAGAGGCGAGAGTTCGTCTTGAAGGTTGATGAAAGGGGAGTCAGTGGATCCGTTCTCCAGTTCTCCAATCTGCCTGCTGGTGCGCCAGGGGTGCGAGAGAGGTGCCCCACAGGGCACTCAAGCTTACAGGGGTTCTGAAAGGTTGTCGCGTCGACCGCGTTCCACTTAAACTCGCTCCATCAACGCGTCTCACTCTCGTCTGCAGGAACACAACTCCGAACAATACAATCCAACCCTGAAAATGAGACCACCAATGCTCGCCCTGCAATCAGACAAGTCGCCCGAAGAAACCCCAAAAGCGACGCCGCATCTCCTCCCCTGCCGCGTCCACCACGACGGCCCCGTTGAGCCTGCGAAGTCTTTTTGGAACCCCAAAACCGCCGACGGTAAGAATCCACATCTAAAAGTCCAGCTCTACAGCCCGGGGACGCTGCTGACCTTCCACTTTTAGATGGGACCAAAATAGCCTACTTCCGCGGCCGCAAGCTGCAGGGCAAGGCCGTGAAGCTACCCGAGGGATACCGCGGCGCCGTGGCAGCCACCGTGGAACGGTTGGAGGACCACGTTATTGACATCGAGGTCGACATGCCTGAGGGGAGTCTGCAGGTCCAGGCCGAATTCGACGAGATGATTGTGTGGGGGCAAGAGGCCCCCGTGGACGCCTCAGACCCATACTTGAGGGGTGCCGAGGAGTGGCTGGCCCTTGCGGAGAAGGTTGGTTACCAAATCGCTAGTAGTTGTGGTCAACTTGTTGCTGACGTATATCCCTACATAGATTCACGCGTACCCTGCGCAGGAGGCCAAGGGGAAATGAGGGAGTACGGATGTGATGCCCGCTGTGTTGAGAGCATACCTCTTGCTTTGAGGGACGGGATGCCCAGCCAGCGCTTCATTTCTTATCATCTGGTTCATACACCAGGAGTAAAACATACGATAACCCCTCCCAGCACGGCGCCCGGGTGGTTTGGAAGGCAGGCCCCCCACAGGGCCAGGAGCCGGGAGCAACAGACGGCCAGTGAGCAACAGACGGCCAGTGAGGCTGCAGCTCCGACAGCATATGGTTGAGTTGGCCGATGTATAGTGCGATGAACACTACATTGTGGGTGGGCTGTGCCCTACGGATGTTGTAATGATATGACCCAAATAACGGCCGAGCAGCCAAGAGCAAACTCCCACATCCCATAAATGCACCGCATCTGTTACTTGAACTCCCCCGTGTCCACGGTCCCAGCTCCGTCCCCAGCGACCCCAGATTCTCCCTCCAACACCCTCCTAACCACCCTCCCCAACCTCTCCACGCCCTCCACAATATCCTCCTCGTCCGCCCACGAAAAGCTCAACCTCAAATTCCGCGGGAACCTCGCTGCGGCCTCGTCTCCCGCCACCTCAAAGATGCGCCCCGGCGCAACCACCAGCTCCTCCTCGACCCTGGCCCGCTCCGCCACCACCCCAGCATCCACCCCCTCCGGCAGCGTCAACCACACAAAATACCCCCCATACACCTCTCCGTCCTC